ATTCTTAACACCCATTCACACTTTTCGGCTTCCATTCTTCTGAGTACTATATTTGTGAGTGACTGTTCATGATTCTCTCTGTTTGGGAATAATTTACTTACTGGCAATGTTTTTTTCTCTCTAGTTTGAAAGGCTGTATGTATATGTTCACGATATTTAACAGTATAGATACTTCATACTAGTATTCAGTGACCGGGGACTACGTTGGCTTTTTAATTAAACTTCCCCCTTTTTGATTACATTTATGCTAACTACTTTTGCTATTTACAGGGGTGATTCAGTGTCCTTGGCAAAGGACTTTCAGCCACCGGAACCCCCCCTGCTGTTCAGTCCGTTCATGCCAGGGACCTGTACCGGTAATGGCTGATGCAGTGGCACTGGGCATACCGGTAGGCCGCAGGGGGTGAGGGAACGAAAAAGAAACAAAGAGTCCGGAGTTCGATCCGGAATTCCTAGCGGTCTGCCCCCCCATCCAAGCGACAAGCCTATATGGGCCATAAGCTATCGCCAGCCCCCATTCTATACCACCACGCCTAATGGGCTCTGTAAGGGGCAACGCGCGTGACATGTGTCGTCGCCGCTCGGGTCCTCCGTCTGCTGGAAGGCTACGGGCGATCGGGGCGACAATAGACGGCGAGTCGTAGGATTTGCAATAGGCGAATAGTGAGGGGCGGGGCGGGAAAGGTGTGGGACGCAGCCGCAGCGGAGATGGGAGAAAAAGCGGGTAGTCGAAGTGACCGATAGCATGCCTAATTACCGTACCTGCATAGAGTAAGGTAGATAGAGGACGTATTCCAGACCTCTCCCATCCCGGTCCTGGGCCCGGTACATATCCATTAGGGGCACAGCACGCGACGGGTAGGGTTCGGCTGTTAGCCAATGTCTACGCACTGCGAAAATTGTGGAGAAGTCCGGAAAGCGGGGCAGGAATATCAAGCGGCCAGTGGCGGAGCGCGGTAGGAGAGGCCGGGTCCGAATGCGAACGATAGGAAGCAACGTGCGGCGGTAGAGGAGTCGGGAGCGGGGTATGAAGGGAAAGGACAAGGACCCGATGCGATATCGGGGGTCCTATGCGGTGGGAAAGGTCAGGACTGAAACCGGTATCAACCGCTCTGGGCCTCGGCCACCTGCAACCGCACAGTAGTAAATCTAAAAGTGGAAGTGGAAGTGGAAGTATGATAGTATGACACCGTGATAGTTATTCAATATTTTCTGGCATGTGGGAACCTACGGCAGGCTAATGTGTGCAATAATAGGGCGTGGGTCTGGGTATCACTGGTACTGCCATCCCTTTCTCGCAGGTTCTCCGTGTAGAGTTTGGATAAATCGGAGGATGAGACGGTACGGGGGCAGTCGCTGGCGGTGCATTGTTTGTTACCGGTATCTGGAAAATCTGACGATTGAGTAAGAGTGCCATCACGGTACTTGCCGATGTTTCCACAAACCAGCACTGGGTCTGGAGATGGGTACGGTAAAGTGAGTGGCTATGGAGCCGCACAGGGTTCATTAGCAGCGTAACAGCCGGTTACCCTTCGACAGCACCGTACCGTATCCGAGGAAGGGATTTCGGTGAGTTACCAGTACTTGGACAATACCAGTGTGGAAGTGTGGAAGTGGACTTTCGGGACTGAATGGCGTGCTCGACCGAGCTTGTTCCTGTGCGAAACATTTGCCCGTAAGCTCGCGATACGGGAGGATGGATGGAGTGAAGAGAACTGCCCAGGAACGATGGCCAGGTAACAGACATCCGTAGAGGAAGCAGAAGAAGAGAAGAAGCTGGACTCGATTGAAAAGAAAAGGAAACCTCTCCTCCAATTGGTGTTCGCCCACCCCCACCAGATGGAGGTGGTCGCCAGACGGGGGTGTATCACTTTTCACAGCACAACATCACGGGACACAGCCTGCCTAGTGAGCCGGGTAACCTACTCGGGTACCAGTACTCGTACAGTCACACCCCGCTATCCCGGATCTCGATAATCCGGATACCTGGCTCTGTGAGCTTTAGATTTCCTCCCACCAAAACCTCACCCGTTGTCCCGGATCCCTCGCTGTTCCAGACAGATTCTTCGGATTTTGGCCATCTGGGATAGCGAGGTGCGACTGTACAGTACTCCAGGACCCTAGCCCACCAATCTCTTCCACGCCGGTAGAGGCATTCGGCCCCGGGCTGTGAGGGGAATGTGCGTCGCTTTTGAAAGACCGGGGCTGAATTTCTTTCAAAGTCGCTTCTCATTAAACTACTCGAGTACTGGAATACGGAAAGCAAAGAGTGAGAATGGGCATTGCGATTGGCGGCTGCTGCCGAACGTCCCCGGAGCAGGAGGCGGCAGGTCCGACGGTGACACTGCCCTATCGAATTCTATGCGGCATGGCCAAGTACTTACACGAGATGCCCGTAGCGCATTTGGGCGTTCACGGAACGGCGGTTTAGGTACCATACGGTACGAGTATCAGACTCATGTGCTATACCGCACTCATACCGATACTCGCACTCGCGCACGTACTGATTCCTATACGATCCAACCTGGTCAAAACACGCGTGGTTGCTACACTTTCCACCCATCTACCTAGGCTATAATGCACTGTACCGCACACCTACTGGCATTGAAACCTAAGCGGGGAAAGAAGTTTGATTCTTGCTCAAAATGCTTAATTTAGCATGGGGGCTGATTTATTCGAGTAATATCATAGTTGGCTCGCAGTTGTGCCGAAGGTGACTGGGCATGCAGCTGCCCTTCTTGTGTGTAAGCGCTCTGCATTTTGGGGCCCCGCTTTTGGAGCCCTTAAGAAGGACGTTGCTCCGAAAGAGTACTCTCTACGAGCAGTTCCTGTATCCCCATCCCATCCCCAAATGCACTGTTGGAAAAGCATCTCTGAAAAGTTCCCCAAGCTTCAAGGACCCACCTCGAAACCAAAAGCCGACTTTTATCCATCTCTTACTATTGAAAGATCGTGAGCTATCATAGCCACTTACACTCCGCAACACTCGTGAGAAAGAGAAATGGCCGAGCCGTTCTCCCTTGCTGCCAGTGGCTTGGCCCTCATTCACCTCGGCGCGAAGGTTTACCAGCTTTGTGATGAATACCACGATGCAGTCAAGGAGAGCCAACATGATTTCAAGAGGCTGGGGGATGAGATTAGCAGTATTGGCCAGCAGCTGGAGGAAATACGGAGCCTTGCTGCGCAAGGTGATGAGAACAACCCACAATACCCTAGACTTCTTGAATGGACAAGAAACGAAAGTTTGAAGGGTTATGCCACAGCCCTCGGGGAGCTGGAGAAAAAGCTAGATGTCCCAGGATGGAGGAAATCCTCGAGAAAGTTGCTTTGGCCGCTTCATAAGCCCAAAATGGAGCGTTACCTGGGCCTGGTTGAAGAGCAGAGATTAAAACTTCAGCTGTTGTTAACTACAGCCACAACGTAGGCTACCCATTCTTTACCCCCCCGGGAATCTCGCTTCTCCGGTTTCCCTTCTTTTAGTTGGCAAGGCTAACTGGTTGTTTAGGAAGCCGGTAACAGAGGTGTTACGAATCCTAAATGGTACTTGGTCACATTATCCCTACTCCTGCCAATGATTTTCATTCCTAACATTGGATATTCCTAAAACCCTAGAGAATAAATTCCAGGAAGTACAGAAATGGCTCAACGTCGTTGACCCAGCCTCCAATTATTCATCTGCACTCGCACTTCGTGAACCTGGTACGGGGAATTGGCTGCTCGGGGGGCGCGAGTATATCGCTTGGAAGGAAGGTAGAGGAGGGGTTCTCTGGCTTCATGGCATACGTGAGTCCCCGGACGAGTGAAGTCTTATGCTTCAATGAATGTCATTAACATTTGTTGCTTGTAGCCGGATGCGGCAAAAGTGTCCTAAGGTGCGCACTTGACGGGTGTCCAAAGGTGCAATATGATTTCCTGATTTTTCTAACTCTCTCTTTAGTGCTACTGCCATTGAGGATGTCAAGGCTCTTTGCGAGGCGAATGACGATCACGCATTAGCCTATTTCTACTTTACCTTCAGCGACCCGGAGAAACAGAAATCGTGCAATATGCTTCTATCCCTTATTAGCCAACTTCCAAAAAGGCCTTCAGAGTGGGGTTTGCCGGGAGAGGTAGTAGATCTGTACCATAGCACCAAGGCGATCGGAAGGTCGGCGGATATCAATGCTTTGAAAGATGTATTGTCGCAGATTATAAAGGGCTTCGGGAAGCCGTTTATCATTCTCGATGCCTTGGACGAGGTCCCGAAGGACGCACGTGAAAGTCTCTTGTCTTGGGTCAGTGAGCTTATGGTTGATCATAAGGCGGAATCGCTGTCCGTTCTCATCACCAGCCGTCCCGAGGCCGATATAGTGAGATCGCTGGAGTCACTTGCCGATTTTACAATATCGCTACAATCCAAAATTATCGATCCAGATATCCGGGCATATATACAGAACTCTCTAGCCGGCAAGGATGGTTTCAGGAAATTTACCAAAGAAATCACGATTGAGATAGAGGAAACGCTAGTTTCGGGTTCACAGGGAATGTGTATGCCCAATCACTAAATCCCTACTTATGCTAATCTTGCGGCGCGTGTTTTCAGGTTCCGATGGGTAGATTGTCTCCTACGAATTCTAGAAGAATGCATAACGCCAAAATCTGTGAGGGATGCATTGAAGGAACTCCCGGAAGACTTGGATTCTGTCTACGCGAGGATCCTCGATACCATTCCTAAGAAGCAGAAGGAGTATATTCGGCGAGCGATGAATTGGCTAGCGTTTTCGGCAGAACCATTGACATTGGGCCAGCTCGCGGAGGCCATTGTGATAGAATACGATGTCAACAATTATGATGCGGATTCGGAAAATCTTTTTGACATGAAGTCCCTCATGAGCATTTGCCCAAGTCTTATTTCCTTTGAAGACGCCAGGGTCGTTGGATCCCCCACCCAGGAAAACCGCCGATTACGACTAGCGCATTTCTCGGTAAAGGAATATTTGATCTCCGACCGGACGGCTCAGGGCCCCAGTGCCTACTATCATATTTCGGAAGATAAAGCGAATTTGCGGATGGGGCACGCTTGCCTTAGTCGAATACTGCGGCATGGAGGGCAAGGTACCATACGCGGGAACAAAGCCAAAGAAATGTCGTTCCTCTACCACAGCGCTCGCCATGGGTTCCTGTACTTTAGATCAATTGAGTATATGGCACCCGCCCCGCTCTCCGAGGCTGCGGTAAAAGTCCTCGAGCTCGGCCAAGCTTGGATAGATGTATATGACCCTGACCCTTTCCGACAGCGTGAACTCTCGGATTCCAGGGCTTACCCACCAGCGATCTACTATTCCTCCTTGTTAAATTTAGCGACGGCCTGTAAATTACTGGTCAGCGGGAAGGAGGATGCCACAGATGTGAATGCTCGGAGTGGCACTTATGGCAATGCACTACAAGCAGCTGCAGTTCAAGGAAACGAATCGGTCGCGCGGCTTCTCCTCGAGCGTGGGGCAGATGTAAATGCAAAGGGTGGCCATTATGGCAATGCACTACAAGCAGCTGTAGCGGAAGGAAAGGTATCGGTTGTGCGGCTTCTCCTCGAGCGTGGGGCAGACGTGAATGCTCAGGGTGGCGGTTACGGCAATGCACTACAAGGAGCTGTAGGGGAAGGAACCGAATCGATTGTGCAGCTTCTCCTCGAGCGTGGGGCAGATGTGAATGCTCAGGGCGGCTGTCATGGCAATTCACTACTCGCAGCCGTAGTCCAGGGACACGAATCGGTTGTGCGGCTTCTCCTCGAGCATGGGGCAGATGTGAATGCGAAGGGTGGCTATTATAGCAATGCACTGCAAGCAGCTGTGGTGAGGGGAAACCAATCGGTTGCGCGGCTTCTCCTCACACACGGGGCCGTTCCCGACGCAGGGACTTCGGCGGATGATACAAGTAGCACAGCCAGCTAGCAGGCTTTCAATTGTTCAACTACTTGAATATCCTATTCCTGAAGCCGCCACCAATTCTTGAAGTTATCCCTTGCCTACCCCCATTCTCGCTCACCCTTTCTCGTGCCGTTATTTCACACGACCGCTACAAGAAAGCCCAACTCCCGCCTGCGCACGCCGCGTTCCCGGTAGTTTGCCGCCCCCACAACCGTACTCCATTACGCACCCCAAACCATCAACTACTCATTCCTCAATCTCATCTATCCTTCTGCCTCCGAACACCCTGGAAGACCTCCGCTACTTTCTCCAAAATTTCGAACCATACTGATTGACTTTTGCTTGACCCAACCTCATTATTATTGTTCTCGTTACCCCATCCCCTTTTGCGATAAAAGTTAGATATATCTCCGATCCTATAATGTGGGGCCCGGGGACATCCACACTTGCTGTCAATCTGTAAATCTGTCAAGTGATCCTGATAGAAGGAGAAAGTTGATGAGAATTGCTCCAGTGACAGCAGTAAGGGATGAAAGGTGTTTGGAAAAGGGGGGAAGTGTCATGTTAACTTGCCGGTTCGCTCATTAACTTGTTGGTCCTGGTCTTGAGCTTTGGAATCCCCTTTCAATTTTCTCATATTTCTTCTCCGACCCCCTTCTTTTTTCTGAGTGGAATAAGGCCCTGGTTACAGATTCGTGGAGCACCGTTGTTAAGGAAACAGTGCCTTCTTCCCTCTTAAGGGATAGATCATTAATAGTCTTGTTCTCTGTTCATTTCATTTTTTTTCTTCTTCAGATATAAAACACCGGCGGGGTCAACGAACAGGGGGGCTCAGAGAACATGGGCCCGGGACACGGCAATTACTGTGGCTCATGGTATGGCTAGATGAATAAATTTATGATACCTAAGATGGGTGCTGATATGCGAAAATTGGTCCACTCTCCCAATGCAACAAACCTGTCTCAACACATACCATACTTCTTGAGCTTAGAGAGCCCCTGCTGATGATCTTAAAAAATATTTTTCAAGAAAATTCATGTATGTACAGACTCAGAATTAGATTTTTTCAGATTTTACACTTTTATCATTTTTACATAGATATGTAGCCTGAGTTTTCAGCAATCAGAAAAATATTTAAGAGCAATTTTTAGTAGTAAAATTGACTGGTATAAAGAATTTTGTAATACTGATTACATGTAAGAGCATTTAATATTTTTATGTTTTACAATTTTTCCTTGGTTGCTATGCAAACTTAAAACTGAAATTACACAAAACCGGGTTTAAGGTGTCTGGCCCAATTTTCGCATATCAGCACCCAGATGATTATAGCATCAACAAGACCATATAAGCAAATTTTAAAAAAAACAAATCCACAATTCAAGCATGCCTGTATTTAAAATAGTACTGTACAGGATCTGGCATTGCAACCTCAGACTCATCACTGCTACTACTTTCAATAATTTCTCTCTCTATTCCTATCTTCTATCTTCTTCCTAAAAATATAATCCTGCTGGCTAACATCTCCTATCTCCAAGTAGTTCTCCAAGTTAATCCAATTTCAATTCTTGGAGGGCAAATTTTCTTGCTTGTGAAGCAGACTAGCAAGTTACTTTTCAACTAGACTTCAGTGGTACTTATACTAACTGCATATTTTCTAGGTCCTTGGAAGAGTATTTTACTTTCTATATACTCAGCTGCTTCAACTTGCTTATAGTCAACATATTTAAGATACATTGATGAATAATTTCTTTCTCTATCTCTTCTTCCCATGCTTTGATCCTTCTACTATTCTTTTCATCCTCCAGACAAGTAAAAAAATTGATCAACCTTACTTCTAACTAGTCATGCTCTTCCCTCAGCTGAAATTTATTATTGATTCTTCTTCTTTCTCCCTATTTTGTGCTGCAAGAACCTAAACTAAACTGAGTTCTTGCTATTGATTTTCAGCTTGCAGCATACTTTTATAACCTGTATTTGTGATATTCAAAAACAGCCAACATCTCTTTCCACTGTGAAATGCCAGCAATTTTGAACAATTTCCTTTCCCTACTCTTCTACCATTCTTCAAAAGAGACTCTTGATACTTCAACTGATGAATGTTAATTGAGATAGTTAACTGAATAATCTTGGTTGAAGTTAGATCACAAAGATATTCAGGAGCAGCCATTAGGTCTATGGTTTTGAGAGCCTGTAGAGGGCTGTAGGGTCTTAGAATACTTGGTAAAACAATTTCCTTATCTACAAGTATATGTCCTGTATTTTAAAAAAAGACTAATTATATATTTCCAGCTGTGAATAATTTCTTATATGCTATACTAGTGATTTCATAAAATATTTCTTTTCCTACTTTCTATTCATACTATGTCCAACATTGCTGAATCTCCTTGTAGTAAAAATGTTTATAGAAACTGAATATTACAATATCTAGTGGTTGTAAGTAGTACATTATATGTCAAGAGAAATAAAAGAAATGACTTTATCATCTAAACAATAGGTTAGAAATCATAGGTTTTTATAAGAGTTATGGCCATCAAAGATAAGTAGTTTGTACTCCTGCTATACTTTTACTACTGATATAATTTTTTCAGTCTAAAATTCTATTCTAGGAAGCAAGCTAGGATGTTCTCCTCAGCAGATCCATTTGGGAAGTTCTGCCAAACAAGGTATGTAGTCAAATTTCAAGTATGTTTTTCAACTATTCCTACCAAAATTCCTTCACTTTAAAGATAATATTATATGGTGCTTTTAATAATTCTCTATTACTACAAAATAAACTTGTTTAATTACAGTTACAAAATCTTATGTACTATCTATTGCAATTTTAGTTTTTTATCTCTTACTTTATTCTTTTAACTTTATGTAAGTAGAAGTATCTTAACTTAAATAAAACAATAATTAATTTTTTCATAGATAACAAATAACTTCAGCAACTCTTCCTGAAACACAAAGGCCTATTAAAAATTCAATATTATTAATATTATATGTATTCTAAAACTTAATTGTAGGATCTTAGACAATACTACTATACTAATAATATTAATATTACCAATATCATACTTTTTTATAAGATATTGAATAATATATATAGTCAAAGGAGTTACTCAATAATTTTTTATTATTTCCAAATAGCTAGTATTTGTAGTCTAATTGTTTACTGATCTTAAACTTGATTTCTGGATGCCTGTAGTAGAATAAGTTCTTTATCCAATATTTACTAAGAGTTTCTTCTAGTACTTGTTGCTACTAATATAAAGTAGATGCTAACAAACATCCTCATTTGTAAAAGGAAAACTATATTACCCCAAATACTTACAATACTCAACATGAAAATTTTCCTCCTTCGGATTAAGCTTTGGACATCTTTGACTCTCATCTTCCCTTTTCCATCTTCCCAGATACTGATATTATAGAATTAATAGTTTTACATTAATTATATCTTTAGTAGATTGCAATACTGTTACTACTTCATACTATAAGAGGCTAAGTTCTATTTCTTTCTGAATATGTTGGAAGAATTTATGCTGAATAGATAGAGAAGCTTTGAATTCAGATGATAGTATGATATTACCACCACTTAGGATTAGGATAGCATGGTTGTTGCACAGAGGTTTCCTTTATTCCAAATGAGTTATGTGTTGTGTAGGATTAACTGGTAGCTTGTTTAACAGAAACAGATAGAAGTAAATAGACATATTGCAGCTATGCAGTAAGTAGTGAGTTACTGATTGGTGGATTTTCTTTGTTTATATAATGGGGTATGCTCCTGATAAGCTTATTTTTTTTATGGTTATTTGACAGAATACCCCTCTCTGAAACCAAATTTGACAAAATGCCACTGTAAAAGAAAATTTGATAGAATGCCATCCACCACATGTGTTTCAACCTAATATTTTCTACACAGTATATTCCACCTCCAATACTATAGGTCTAACATAGAATGAAATATATTAAATCAAAACAAAAGCAATTATTTAATGATATACTTCTCTAGAGCTCTAACTTTAACAGAATACTCTGGTAAAAAAAAAGGTTGATATAATACCTCTTAATATATCAACTGGATGAGATAACAATAACTATCCTGAGTCCAGATATTTCTTTTCATCTCCAGATTTTCTTGATTAATAAGTATTTCTTTTCTACTTTCATTTACAACTGTTATTTCTCCTCCAATAGCCTCATTATAACTTTTTCATTATAGCAAGCTTCTAAAGAATTCTCTAACCTCAACCCCCAACTGTACTAACAAGTACTTTGTAATATAACTTGATAATAAAAATCAAGAAATATGATCCTATAACTTGTATAATTTTGTGAAATTTTGTTTGACAACTGCTTGCCTGTTTTATGTCTGAGTGATATGGGGTGGGGGAGCAGGATGGGTTGTGATAGTTGAATATGATATTTTAATATACCCAGAATCCCATGTTTGGTACTTGCTTTTGTATATTACTATAATATATTTACTTTTATCACTTATTACATTTTGCTATATGTCAGACCACTATGGTTGGAGGTAAGATAAACTGTGTAGAATAGATTTGGTAGAAGAACACATAGTAGGTGGCATTCTATCAAACTTTTTTTTTTTACAGTGGCATTCTGTCAAATTTGGGGTTGAAGAGGGGTATCCTGTCAAATAACCGTTTTTTTATTTACCTGACCTAGTATTTCTCTCTCTACATATGTACTTCGGAATTATATTCTTTTCTCTCTCAGTTAGATGAGATCCAAATCCTTAAACCCTGACCCTGAACTCCTAAACCACAAATCCCATACTTTAGCACAAACATGTTGGGTCTGTATACCTGTACCTAACTTCTTATCTATACATGCCCTTTGACAGTGGTATGTCTCTGACTTCCTACCCCCTCAGACACCTTCCTATTACATATAATTGCAGATGAAGAAAGAAGGAAAATTTTCAATACAATTACATTTTGGTATAATACCAGGCATCTATAATGTGTACCACTGGTATTGCACAAATGTAATGCCTTATGTAATCAGAGTTAGGGTGATTTTTTAAAAGACGGTAGTTTTTCTTTATCCCTTAATCCATTGAGACATTCCAGTCCATTTTAAAATC